GCAGGAGTGCATGTTGGAACACACCTATAATCCCTGCTAGTCAGGAGGTAGAGGCAGTTGGATCTTAAGCTCAATGCCAGCCCCGGTGGCTGGAAGAGTGATTCAAGTGGTAGAGTCTCCCTAGCAAGCATGAGGCCCTGAGTTCAAACCCCAGTACCACCAAAAAAAAAAAAAATGCCTAGGCAAAGTAAATGAGACCCTGTCTCAAAAGCAAAAATACAAACAAAAGGGCTGGGTGTGACTCAAGTGATAGAGCATTCATCTTCCATGTGCAAGGCTCAGGTCAGTCCCTAGCACCAATGGCTATGATGTCACTAAGCCATAGGAATTTTGTAGCTCCATTATAATCTATGGGTCCAATGTCACATACACAGTCTGCACCATGTGACTGTAGGTGGAGTTATTGTTGCTGTGATTAAAAACTAACTACCCTTTGCACTGACCCTCATACCAAGTTTGTTCCACTTCCAGAGACTGAACTTCAGAGAAAGGCTGACATCTTAAAACTGGAGTTTCCACCCTAACAGGTCAAGACAACAAACCTGAACCCAAACACTACATCAAACTTATCCAGGAATGCACTGCCCAGAACACAAAGGGCGAGTTTTCCACCTGCTTTATGAAGCTACAGTGAGACTTCCTGAAGCAGCGTACAACCAAACTGAAGAGCCTCATTCAACTCATCAAGCATTGGTACCAACTGGTATGGCCGCCTCACCCAGCCACTGTGATACCTTTCTAGACAGGGGGCAGAGGAGGAGATGGGAGGGGGGGATGCTGGAGGAGGGAAATTAAATTGAGGGAAGGAAAGGAAGAACTTCTTTTCATAGTTTATTCTGGATGGTTTCTTCTAATCTGCCTTCCAGTTAACCAATTTCCTTTCTAGTTGTGTTTAATTTACTGTTGTTAGTGACGATTTTCATTTTTATTCTAGGATTTCTACTTCATTCTTTTTCAAATCTGCCATGTTAATCTTTTATGGGTTCTAATTCCCTGCTATTTCAAGCTTTTATGTCTTTGAACATGACATTCTTAGTTATTTTCAATATCAAATATTTTGTACTTTATTACTATTTTCTTTTGTTCTGCTGGCCACCATGCCTGGTTGTTTATGTGCTCATTGTTGTACTTGAAAATTATTTGTGAAATAAAGAAAAAATTGAGCCACTGAGAGACTAAACCACCAGCCCAGAGTCAGACAGTAGCAGAGCTAAGATCCAAATCCACCTCAGTAAGAATCCATAGCTCAGGCTGCACCCAGGGCTACACACACTTGTTTGGTACAGGACCAGGTAGTAAATATTTTAAACTTTATCAACCACTTGCTGTCTGTTACAACTACTCACTCTGGCTATAGTAGGGAGGTAGCCATAGACCATAATAGAAATGAATGGGTGTGGCTGTGAGCCAATAAAACTTGGTGGCAGGCTGCATTTAGGCCATGAGAAAAAAGCTAGAAATCCCCATTTTTCCAATTATTTTTCCTCTTCTCAGTGCAAGGAGAAGCTCGGGAAGCCACTGCCACCACAGTATACCCTGGAGCTGCTGACGGTGCATGCATGGGAACATGGGAGTGGAAAATCTGAGTTTGACACAGCCCAGGGATTTCATGCTGCCTTGAAATTAGTCGGGGACTACCGGCTGCTGTGCATCTACTGGATGAAGTATTACGACTTTAACGACCGTATCATTTTTGATTACCTGACCAGGCAGCTCAGGAAACCCAGGTACCTGTACCCTCACAGTTTTGCTCCCACCTCAGGATGCAGCTGCAGCACAGTAGAAATGAGGAGGTGGAGGCTCCACATTTACAGAGCTTCTCCTGTTTCCTGGCACTGGGTGGGGCCTGTCCTATGCTACTTGATTAAAACAAGAACCTCCAGCCCCAAGAGAGGCCCTGTGGCCATCCTTCACAGACAAGGAAACTGAAGTTCTGAGCTTGTCCAAACCCAAACAGAAAATGAGTGAGGCTGGAATTAAAACTTAAACACCATGGTGGCAGCATCAATAATAATAATAATAACTGCTCTAGGAATTGAAAATTTGTTACAAGACTAACATATCCAAATATGATAACATGATAGCAAAAATGATCACCCGTGTAAGTGACAGGTATCGTTGTGGTCCAGCCACCTGCCAAGCATTCTGCTGCCTGGGTTTATCTTCATGTCTTGATCTTTGACATTGGCACAGGTCAATCCCCATCTCACAGATGAGGAAACTGAGGCTTAGGGAGCTCAAGTGTCCTGCCGGAGGGCGCACGGCTAATGAAGGGCAGAGGACGAATTGACACCCAGGCCTGCCAGGCTGTGAGCAAGGCTCACCTCTCGTGCACCTGTGCTGTGGGGCAGGGCCTCAGGACACATCCCGGAGCAGTGCCCTGTGGACCCCTCCTCATCTGAGGCCCAGGCTGTCCAGGCTGTTGTCAGCTCTGCCAGGAGACCCCGGCCACCTGGACAGCACCCAGCTCTTCACCCTCCCCTTCTGCTCTGCAGGCCTGTGATCCTGGACCCGGCTGACCCGACAGGAAACCTGGGTGGTGGAGCCCTGGAGGGCTGGCGGCGGCTGGCAGGAGAGGCTACAGCCTGGCTGACCTTCCCGTGCTTTAAGAAATGGGACGGGTCCCAAGTGGGCTCCTGGGCTGTGCTGGTGAGACCTGCTAACTCCCTGTACTCTGCACCCCCAACCCTCCGTGAAGCCCCGCCCCCTGCAAACAGCCCCGCCCCCTGCACGCAGCCACACCCTGCGTGTAGCTCCGCTCCCTGCACAAGCCACTCCCCTGCACAGAGCCTCGCCCTGTGCTCAGCCACACCCTGCATGTAGTTCCGCCCCCAGAGCAGCCACACCTACTGCTCACAGCCCCGCCCTGTGCACAAGCCACACCCCTGCACAGAGCCCCGCCCCTGTGCTCAGCCACACCCTGAATGTAGCTCCGCCCCCTGAGCGCAGCCACACCCACTGCACGCAGCCCCGCCCCCTGCACACAGCCCCATCTTGCTCTAAGTCACCCAGGCTCTTAGAGCTGCAGGTTGAGCTCCGTATTTCTCAATCATTTGGTTCTCAACAGGGAGTTCTGGGATTTTCCCATCCCCTGTCCAGCATTCACTCCACTAGGAGTAGTAATAAGTATGAACGACTTGCACTGCCTTGGACTATGCTTCTGTCCCAAGTCCGCTAATAATCATTTCATTAAATCCCTGCCAGGTGTGCTTACCAACTCCCTCCGGATTACCCACAGGAAAAGGAGGCTCAGAGAGGTAAAGTCACTTGCTCAAGGGACGCTCAGCTCGGGAGTGGCAGGGCTGGGGTTCGAAGCTAGCAGACACCAAGGCCACTGCTCCTTGCACTGTGCTAAACAGCCCGTCCTGTCTTGCCCCAACTTATCTGCAGACGGGAGACTTGGCGCCCCTGAATGACTTGGGCTGTGTCACACAGCTAAGGAGGCATATGAACTTGGCCTCTCTGATGCTATGAAGCTGATGATGTCATGGCAGCAATATGTCCCTAGGCAGACTCAGGGTGGACATTAGGGTATTTGGGGTGAAGTCCCATTGGAACCAGCCAAATGGGGAGTGGAGGGAGCAGGAGAGGACAGGGGAGGAGTGAGCAGTGAGGAGGGAGAATGGCAGCTTCCGCCAACTCCACAGACAGCTCCCAAGCTGGAGTGGCCTTTAGAGCTGTCACACAGCTGTCAGGTGGCCAGGCTTTTCTACCCCTTCCCTTCAGTCACTGAGTGTGGGCACCGCTGGAAGGGGCTTGGCTTTGTGGGGAAGATTCTGTAGCCCAGGCCACCCTACAGGGGCTGAAGTCTGCTGCTGGCCACCTGCCCAGCAGCTGGATCCAGCTGGCCAGTCACAGTGTCACCCCCCCATGCTCACAGGCATCGAGTTCCAAGGTAGGAACTGCTCCCTGATGTGACCATGTGTTTTACTTTGCAGATAGAGAGCTCCATTGGCACCTTCGACATTTAGAGTAAATGGGATTTTTTCTTGTTTATTTGTTTGGTTTTTGGCACTTCTTTTGGCGGTACTGGTGATGAACTCAGGACATCATGCTTTCTAGACACGGGCTCTACCTCTTGAGCCACACCCCGTCCTTTTTGCTCTGGTTACTTTGAAGATAGGGTTTCACTTTATCCCCAGGTCAGCCTGGACCATGGGCCTCCTATTTACATTTCCTGTCATGGCTGGGATGATAGGCACAGGCTACCATGCTCAGCTTTTTCTGTTGAGATGGGGTCTCATGAACCTTTCACCCAGGCTTGTCTCAAACTGCAATTCTCCTGATCTCCACCTTCCAAGTAGCTAGTATTACAGGCATGAATCGCCACCCCCTAAACCAGATGCTTTCTTACCCTCCCCAGCCAGCAAATGCTCCAAGGCAAAGAGACAATGTCTGCCCTCCTGTGAATGCATCTGCACCTGAAGGGAGAGGGAACAGACTCATCCAGACAAGCCCCTCCTGGCAGGCATCCAGAGAGGACATGGTGCCACTCTAAGGTCCTGAGTGCCCAACCCAGGACCAGGACCCAGTCCTCCTGATCCCTGCCTGCCCCAATCTTTTAGCTTCTTCCTTCTCATGGAGAGCACTGCCCCACAGCCAGCCTCATCCTGACTTAATCCATGACAATATTCTCTGAGAGATAACAGGAGTTATTTAGACAAGAGAGAGGAATACAGCCATGACGTTCATCTGTGTCACTGGTGCAAAGGCTCTGTCCAATTTATTATCAATAATAATGAATAAAAATAATAGATGCCATACTGTGTGTGTGTGTATTTTCAATGATTCCACTACACTTATTTATTGAGCACTTGCTAAGTGACAAGCATAGGTGTAGGTGCTGGGGACACAGAAATGAACAAAGCAGGCAAAAATCCTTCTTATGAGTTTAACATTTTGATACTGGGTGGTTTGAGATCCTCATAATTTTCCTGGTTTAAGTAATCCTAAAACAAGCATCCTTGCATCATCCTTGTCTGCATCTCTAGGGAAAATTCTAGACCTGTCCCATCTAATGCATAGTTGTTCAGGAGCTATGTGTGGCTGTTGTAGCACTTAAAATGTAATTAGTTCAAAAAGGATGTGATGTGGGTACAGCATGGATACTGGGTTTCAAGACCATGGAGAGGAAAAAGGAGGAGGGGGAGGAGGAGGAGGAGAAAGAAATGGAAGAGGAGATGGAGGAGGAGGAGGGGATGAAGAAGGAGGGAAGGAGAAGGAGGAGGAGGAGAAGAAGGAGAGGAGATGGAGGAGAAGGAGGAGGGAAGTCAAATTCTTGACAACTGATAATTTTAAAAGTCGGTTGTGTATTGAAATGACAACTATTGATAGAGTTAAATTCATTGTTTTACTTTTTTTGACACAGGGTCTCACTATGCAGCCAAGGCTGGCCTCAGATTCCAAACCCTCCTGCCTCTGCCTCCTGGGTGCTGGGACTACAGGCTTACACCACCATGCCCAGCTCTCATTTTAATTTTTTAAATGCAGATACTGGAAAATGTAGAGTGACACGGGTAGCTTGCATTGAATGTCTACTGCACAGCTATTTCCAGATTTCCTGTTCTCATTGCCAGGTTGTCATGCTGTCCTTGGACCAAAAGCCATCAATTCATTTGTAAGACTGCAAACAAAAAATTCCCCAAAAGAACCAAGCCTGCCCTTATCACCCGGGTCACTGGTCACCCAAGTGGCTGGAAGGCAGTCTCTGTTTTGTCCTTATTTCTTTTCCTCCTCTTCATGCCCCACGATCCATGGCAGACGGCTTCATTAGTTTCTCATAATAATGGAAGAACTTGAGATCCTCAGAGGTCAGGGCACCTGCTCAGGGCCACTGCTAGTGGGAAACAGACTGTGGTCTTGACTTCTGATTCTTCTCTTAATCACCATAGTATGGTCCTAGGGATTCATTCACTGAATTCTTCTGCTCCCCCACTCTGATGACCTTGAGAACCAGGGGCACCGATGTCAAAGGCAAGAGAAAATGAAAGTCCCAGATGGACCAGCCTGCCACTCCCCCTTCCTCTCCCTTTTGTTCTGTGTTGGTTCTCAGCAGAATGCATAATGCCAGCCCACAATTCCAGTGCAGCTCTTCCAGAAACACCTTCACAGATACCCCAGAAATGATGGATTTCTTTTGTTTTGTCTTTTGAGACAGGGTCTCAGTACATAGCCCAAGCTGGCCTTGAACTCACCATCCTCCTGCCTCAGCCTCCCTACAACTGGGATTACAGGCATGAATCACTAGCCTCGGCCCCAAAATAATGTGTTGATAAGTAACACCCACTGTTCTCTGGATGTCACCCAGTGCATGTCATGGGGACATTATCAAATTAACCATCGTGTATCCATGCAGACAGGGAAGTTTGGGCTTGATATGTGATGCCTGCGTTTTGTTTTACCATGTGGATGACCCACCTGTGTGATCTTTTGAGAGCATTTCAGTGTGATAAACAATATCACAACCAACAATAGACTAATGGAACTTGTAACAAGCTGCTTAATTGAAGAGTCACATGATCAAGCGTCTATTAAAAATGCTCACCCCAGGATCCTTCTGTAAAAGGCAAAGAATTTTTTTTTTTTTGCAGTTCAAATCCAGCCAAGGCAAATAGTTCACAAGACCCTATTTTGAAAAAAAAAAAAATCACAAAAAAAGGGTAGAGTGGGTCAAGGTGTTGGCCCTGAGTTCAAATTCCAGTACCAAAAAAAAAAAAGAACTAGGTCTTTACCTAGTGACTGTGACCTTTAATTGTCCTCAGCCTTTTGGCTGTCTATGCTTGATTTCTTTTAATGACCTAAACTGAGTAGTACCCTTTCTGGCTGCCCCAGGAGGCCATACTGGATTAACCAGGCCCACAGCTCATAGTGGCTCAGGACCCCTGGCTGCCCCTCCAGCCACCACTACCTGGTATCTAGGGTCCTTGCTGGGTATTAAGTCCTGTATCTCTGCAAAGTCCCCTTAATCTGTGAGCTCCCCCTTATCTGATCTGACAGCACCTTGACCAAGACGCTCAGCATCCTCTTCCTCTCGTTCCCACATGGTTGGCGCTGGCTTGGTCCTTTGCTACTTTGGGTGATTGGCCCCTTCTTCCCTTAGTCCTCAGACACAACCCAACTGGATGGTGTTGGAACTTAAGCTTAGTGCTGGCCTTCTGGGCAGAAGGGAGGTGGGTACAGGTCCAGGTGAAACCAAGGCCCAAACTCCTAAGGTTCCATACTCCAGGTCCAGCCACCCACCCCTAAACGCCAGATAAAGAGGCATGGTGAAGGCAGAGAAAGGAGGTTTATTACATGACTCAGGATATGTCATGGGAAGAGGCACAGTTAGCACTCAGCTCATCTTCAGCCTTCGTCAGGGTACAGACATGAGCTACAGGTTAAATACACAAAGAACTGGGGACGGGGGACAAGGGTCTGCATAGTTAAACAGTCCCAGTCACAGGTGTGGTCTTGTTGACCATTATCTCAGTCTAAGGGTTCCCAGAGGGGTTCCAGAGAAGACATCATTGCTGTCATCACTTTAGGGGAGGATCTGGTTCCCATGATCTGATTTCTCCTGCTCTAGGGTACAGCCTTATCATTACAGGTCATTGTCCTCATTTGGAAGGGTTGTTTGTCCTGCAAGTCTCCTCTGTTCTTTGTGGGAAGTTTCAGTCCTTTGTCATAAAGATGTCATCAGTTCTGTCCTTTCTGGAATCCAAGGTGATTGCAAAGTGAGTGTGAAGAGAATGGCTTAGAGCAAAGACAGATACAAAATGGAGGCAGGGATGCCAAGCTTCTCCTGCTTTTAGTTAATTCATGGGCCCAAGTAAGGAGTCAGTGCTTTTCAGCAAAAGCAATTTGAGTGCCTCTCACACTGGGGACCGCGTGTCTTGCAGACAGGAGTCCTCTGCCTGGGGAGAATTAGGGAATTAAAATCAGAGTGGGAAATTTTTGAATTTCCATTCTGGGCCATTGGGGACACAACTCCTAGAAGTGTTCTTGTTTAGCGACAGAGGTGAGGGTGGAGTTCACACTGGAAGTGGGCTGTGACAGACAGCTGTCAGTTCACACTGGAAGTGAGCTGTGACAGACAGCTGTCAGCTCACACTGGAAGTGAGCTGTGACAGACAGCTGTCAGTTCACACTGGAAGTGAGCTGTGACAGACAGCTGTCAGTTCACACTGGAAGTGAGCTGTGACAGACAGCTGTCAGGAAGAGGAACCTTCCCAGGAGGTTCACAGGCCCGGCTGTTGGTGCACTACCTCCTCTGACCGCCTGGGGGAGCCCTCCCACGTATCCCCTCCTCATACACAGCCTCCCCAGGTCACAGCACAGGCGGCCCTGCCCACATCACCTTCAGATAGGTCACAGCCCACCCGTCCCACCTGGAGTCAGGCTGCCCGAGTTCAAATCCAGCTTCTAAATCTTCCCACAGGCTGTGAGCTTGGGCAAGTCCCTGACCCAGTGATAAGCAGCTGGTCCTCTGTTGATGGCTCTGGGGAGAATTTAATGAGCAAATGGGTGTTGGATGTGTACAGAGCCTGACTGACGCTTATCCCCAAAGAAACTGGAGCTAATTAATATGATTATTCAAAAACTGGTTATCAGGACCTGCCTGGCCAAGTCCTATACTTAATGCTGAGAATATAAGGGAGAACAAGGACCAAAGGAGTGGGGAAGCAGGCTATATGAACTCCATTTCACTTATAAATATGTAAGAAATTACCTAGTAAGTTATTAGAGGTCTTATAAATGCAATGACAAGAGCATGTGGGAAGAAACGGCAGGGCAGCTGGAGCAGCCTGGGAACCCAGGCAAGAGTTCACTCCGAAGGAAGGAAAACCTCAGCCCAGGGCAGAAGGATGCAGGAGTATCAGCCATGAGAAAGTGAGTCTTGGCCACAGAAGGAACAGTCTATGCAAATGCCCAGAGATGGGAATGACTCACTCTTGGAAAACCAAAAGAAACTCACCAAGGTAGGCAGTAAAGCCTCACAAAACAGAAATGTGTTGTCTCACAGTTACAGGGGTTAGAAATCCGAGGTAAAGAAGGTTGGTTCCTTCTGAGGTGGGGAGGGAAGCTCTGTCCCAGGCCTCCGACTTTCGGTGGCTGCCACAGTCCTGGCACTCCTGGCTTGCAGGTGCATAGCTCCCGACGCCACCTCTAGCTCACAGGATGTCCTCCCGTGTGCATGCAGGTGCATGCATTTGTGACCAAATTTCTCTTTCTTATGAGGTCCTGAGTTGTACTGGATTCAGATCCACCCTAATGACCTCATTTTAACTTGCTTACCTAAGACTCTGTTTCCAAATAAGGTCACATTATGAGGTCCTGGGGGATGGAATTCTGACAGATCCTTTGTGGGAAAGGCCTCCCAATGAAGCCCATCCCCAAGAGCACCCAGTCCACAGCCACAAGCTGCTGTGCCTCACTTGAGCACAAGGCTGGCATAGCATAAGACACCTCCCAGCTGGCTCTCCAAAGGATCCTCAAGAAGCCACGGGATTGGAGCTAGGACACAGCACTCCCACCCACCTCTCAGAGTGAGGTGCAGACACTGGGTGGTCTTTCCCTCCAGTTAAACCTCGCCGCCCACCATGGCCCCTCCACACTCCAGCTGCAATCTTAATGTAGATGAGGAGTCCAGAGAGGTGAGACTGACGCACAGCCCCTTGGTAAATTCCACTTTTGGTGATTTGTTGAGCACTTAGTTTGCTTCCTGGTGCCACCTATCTTAGAGGCTTGGAAAAAAAAACAAT